GTGAATGAAAAAATAGCCTTCTCCGGGGTCATAGAGCACAACTGCAACCTAGTGTGATATTGTTTCGTGCTAAAATAATTCAACGAGTTTCCCCTCTTCGAATAATACAGGTCCTTGAAGATTTGATAAAAAAAAAATAAAATAAACCCAATCCAAATCTACAAAAAATTAACAAAAGGTGCTGGATGATGGACCTTATCGAGATCAACGAGTTCTTTTTTTTTTTTAGAAGAATGGCAGAATTATTTGGTGAGACTCCCCGTTAAATAATTTCTCACAAACTCCAAAATGTTAACGACAACGCTAATCAAGAATGAAAAATAATATTATAATTCGCATAAAAACGTGGAAATCGAGCTTTTCTTATTTGAATAAACCTTCGGAACGAGTACGTGCGCAAAAAATACATGTTTAAACAGGAAACCTCAAATAACGCAATTAATTTACTTCCAAAAACTTTCCTGAATGTGGAAAAAAAAAACCTGCGAGAAGGAAATAATCTACGCCAAGGCTTTGTTATTCGTACGGAAAACAGGACAGAGAAAAAACAGGTCTCAGAAAAAGTGGTTTCGGGAAACAATAAACAAAGGTTCTTTCAAGTTAATCAATTACTCATAACCTTACGCGTGTCACGGCACATTTTATGTTCAACAAAATGACAAACTTACATAATATTTACAGTATTCGGAAATTAAACATGCTAAGAAATCTCAGGAGGAAATATTTTGACCCAAGTCACGCTTGAGCGTATCCCAAAACAACGTGGGACTAATAAAAAAAAGTGCGACAATCCAAGCACCAGGAAATCATCCTGTGACAATTGACTGAAATTCTCGTCAAACCTTGACGCTTCATTCAAGATCAATTATTCAGAAAAACTGACAGTAGCAAATATTTTTCATATGCATCACTCCACAAAAATCGTTTGATATCGCGGGGCCCCAAGATCTCGACGTAATCGGTACTTGGACCTTATCCCTAATACTGTATTTCAGAACATCTGCATGTCAAATCAGGTTTTTCCAAAAGCTTCAACGGGAACATATTCAATCAGTTCTCCTGTTCATCAATAATTAGGAAAAAGTCCCAACAAAATAGATTAAAAATGTATATCTCAGCTTCAACATGCATAAAATAGCTGCGTAGAAAGATACCTCACAGAATCTGATTTTTAGCATGAAAAAGAGCCCAAAAAGCAAATAAAAAGCAAAAGTCTTGCTAAACTCTGCACAGATCATGAAGAAAAACAATCAACAAATTTAATTTTTTTCTTTTTTGAGAAATTTAAAATAACAGGTTGTTTTAAATTTGTGTGAATATTAATACTGTACATGTATTATAAATTACTCAAGAAGACGTAAACATTTTGAAAAATAATTTTTTCCATTCTTCTAGAAACGTTGGCGAAGTGTCCGTATCTCGAGACATTGTCAGGATGCCGGGCAGGATTTTTCGAGTTTCAAAGGTCCCTCAGTTGAATCGTCCATAGATCGGGGCCCATGGGATATTTTTTAATCCATCTCATGCTGTTTTTTTTTCTCGCAGCTTGGCTGTTCATTTCTTTTCTGCACGCGCATCATTCCGGTAACCAACCAATAAAATTGCCACCAAATGAAAAAATAATTCCAAAAAAACGTCCAACAACAACAAAACCGTCTCATTGCACAATACGACCAGACAAAACGTGCTGAGCCCCTCGATCACATCCGACGCAGAGGCAATTTCTTAGAACCAATCCCTTATACGGTTGTCTTCAGCTTCGAATCAATAGGCTCTGAAAAAATAAAATCAACTAGAGAAGCCTGGTGACAAACGACACGATGTCGCAACGAGTTCAATTGTTCGCAGCAAAGATGAGACAAAAATAAAATGAAATACTGTACTATAGTGGACCTTCCACATTCGGTGCGTCAAGTCCATCCTTGATCTCGAAGACGGGAGAAAAAAATTATATCAAGGTTTTGTGGTAAGCAAGAAAGTACAGTAGCTGGCAAAAGCGACTGAATTTCACCGGATCAAATTTCATCACACTCTCCTCCCCCCCCCCCCCCCCCCCCCCCGGGGGGGGGGTTTTACCCCTTTTGACCGCTTGATCCGATTCATGAATTCAATCCATCCACGCGAGTTTCACGTGGCTTCAAAAGCGAATTCAGAGCATCGTTATTCATACAAAAATATGCCGGGAACGTCACCAGAGGCGTAAGTAAGTAGCTTCGTGAATCACGAGAGGTTGTACAAAAAGTTCACGCACTAAAAGTATTTTATTACGTAACACCAGGTGGTTGAACCTCGGGGACCCTATTAAAAACTCTCATTGTTTATTTGGAAAACCAACCTCATTCGAGAAAAATCGTCAAATTAGAGACAATAGAAGATATTATTTGAGTAACTCTTCCACATCAACCCAAGGGGAACATACTGTATTATAAAAATTTAAACTAAATCAGCAGAATAAACATTAAAAATATCGGAACATACATTATTAGAAAATATTGTTGCTTCCCTTTTAAGTAGTTGCGTTGATTATTTTTCTTCAAATATCCGCAATTCTACGACAAATTTGCGTTTGTTAGCAGTAACATTAAACTTCTGAGCCAATTACGAAAAATGTCCTAATAAAAACTATTCATGGTTAAAATAGAAACAGCCTCAAATAATTTGAGGGACCTCTAATATTGATCTACTCCATGGAAGCATAAAAAATCGATTGCGAATTTCTACAATTTTGTCGATCATCCCAAGATTTGAGGAGCTTCTGAATTTAATAATAAAAATTCGATTTAATAATATAGAAAACTCAATCGAGGATTTTCAGCTGTCGCCTTCACCAGCTTTCCATTAAAAGTTCAATTTTATTGGCACATTGCATTACAAAAATTATTGAAAATAATTTTTAAAAACGCCGAAGAACAAAACTTCTACCTCAAATTTAGGTCCTGGCACTTGTCAAGAAGAAAAAGTTCGAGCTAAATTTCCTTCTGCAAATTCTCGCACAAAAAATAGCTCTTCCACATTTTCTATTTGGAAAGTTTTCTCACATGAACCAGCAAAAAGTTGTAGAAAATACGTTTTCTAGCAGCAGTTGATTCAACTGAATTGACACGTGATTCGCAAAGCTTATGAGAAACCCGAAGGTATGGCGACTTGGACGAGCAACTAGAGCCATGAGAAAACGCCAGTGAGAAGAAATGTCAGATTATGCCAGTGAAATTTGAATAACAATGTGAGAAAATTCAGATATTTTTTTTTACTGCTCCTACTTTTGCCTCAATCCTTTTTACCTACCTTCCCCTTTTGTCGCTTGACCTGTTACTTGTTTTGGGGAAAAGAGCGTGTATAGGAACCTTTATTAGACGCTTCTAAGGGACTGTTAATTTGCAACATAAAATTACAGGGAAACGCGTTTGGCATAAAATTGCGCAACCAAGGAAAGAATTACAGTAATTTCGTCATGTGCAGACTCACTGTACTACATTTCTACGAAAAATTCGGCCATAGAAAAAAATGAAGAGATAAACTTCTCGAAGGATCAAAATTTTCAACGTGGTTTTCAACAACCAATGAAATATCGCGAAATTGACACGGAATGGAGTAACGATTAATGAATAACTTTTTCGATGAGATGAATCAAAGAGACTTCATTCCGTAACAAGCTCTGTAGCGTCCTCAAACTGGTCGAACTGCTCAAGATACTGACTTTTTGACCCAGAGTTTGCTGTCGCTGTGCCAGTACCAGATTCCATCACGGTGTCCCAGTTTGCTGCTTCATCGGATTCCAGTTTACCCTCACAACTGGAATGTCAAAACGAATATATTTAACTCAGTATCATGCTGCACCTCAAGGGAATTCCGAAAAATCCAACCACAAAAAACGTTTCGGGAGTGTAACAACTTAGTTGCACTAGAGAATTTGGGATAAAAAATTTTTAAAAATCAATGACAAGCAAGATGGTTTCAAATTTGACGCATTTAATCAAGTTCTTGGACCAATACCTTGTTTTCTACAAGATTATCAAAATCAGAGACCGGAACATTCTTTTTCAAATTAGATGGTGAGTTTTAAAAATTTAATTACAGTATGATGCGTAAAGAAAATCTTCTAAATTGTTGGATCAACTCGAAACCTTCCATTCATATTCCAAGAACCAGCGTCCTAGTCACAGTTGAAAACAAAAATTCAAGATTGGACCTGCCTTTAGTAAGGAAATTTTTCATCAGGAATTAATCAACGTATTTCTTAAAAAGTTTGTAGCATTGAAATCGGCGAGTTTGTCGCGATGAGATTATTTTTGAATATGCTTTACGGGCTTTCTGCTGCCGAAAAATGTGTTGTATTGAAAAAAATGCTGTAAATATTTGCTACAGAAGGATTTCATTGGAATTCGAACAGTTTCAAGCTTGGTAAAAACGTGGCAACACTTGACAAACATTAACTTTCAATCTTGGAAGCACTTCATAAAAAAACACGGTGTTGAAAATAGTATTCCCAACTGAGAAAGCCAGCAGCTCAAAGGCGCCAGAATTTCAAGCGCATTCCGAAGACAAAAAAAAATATATTCTGCAGCAAACTCAAGTCAAAACCATCGTAAAAGAAAAATTCGCATCAATCTTTACAGGCAGTGACATCTACCCAAGATAAATCCGTTCCAGATGAGACGTGAGCTCGCCACAAGAAGTTAATTCGTCACTATGCAGAAAAGTTCGGCAAATTAATCTCAACAATTCACGCATCCATCTATTCCACAGCTACTTCTCGAACACACGAATTATTCTTGAAAAAAATACAGGTACAGTTATATACTCACGGCTTTCCTTTGACGCAACAACGCAGCCAAAGCAGAGTATAAGTGCAGGCAACCAACATAACAAACGCAATCACGAGGTTCTTGGGCTTGGACAGCCATTGGACCCAAGCGGGTCGTTCATCAAAGCTTTCTTCCTCATCAGGATCGTTTCTAGTGTCGTAGTCTGGACTTCGGCCAGTGTCGGGTCTACCAGGCCACAAAAGTTTCACCAATTCCGGCTTTTCACCTTTCTCCGGAGGAGCAGGCGCCTTGCCGAGACCCCAAGAGGCTCTCAGATCTGATTTGGAAAACAGCTAATTTCAATACTGGCAACAATTATCGACATCGAGAAAATATGTTTTCCAAGGTAGAGATTTCATTAGATATAGAAAGACGGGAAACAGAAGCCCTGATTTCAATCTAGATCTCAAGATGATCTGAGCTCAAGAAACACGATTGCTAATGAAGAACTTCATTACGAGGTCAAAAGCAGGTAACATTAAAGACAAGGGACGTTAAATTCTTTACATTTCAATTATACTGTGCATAAAAAATTGGCTCCTTCTGAATAGGTCAAAACAAGAACTCCTGATCAAAATTTCCCCCATCCTCAAAAAAAAAAGTTCACCACGATATAAACGATTTTCAAAGCAGATATCGTGACATTCTGCATTTCTTGAGCAAATCTCACCAAAATCCTTAAAATTGCATCATGAAAAATCAGACAGATGCCACATGAACAACTGATGGGCTAAAAATAATCACAATAAATACGCCAAAAACTATCGAAAATATATATTTATAAACGAACACTAAAAATTATTCCTTCACAAAAAGTATCCGATATAACCTACCCTGTAATAATAATGCAGTCTAATTATAACTGAAATTGGGCGTATTTGGGGCGACACCTACACAATGAAATAAAGAATTCAGATGTCAAGCGCTGAATTGACGGAATAGAATGAATTGCTTTGGGATAATAGTTCGAAGCACAAATCCAGACTGATCAGAATTGCATAACTTATTCACCTTCCATAATATAACTTATTATATAATTTAATTTACTCCTATAACACATCTCAATTTTTAGGACTTCCAAGGTTTCTTACCACAGTCGTCTCCAGTGCAGATTTTGCTCTTCCCCTTCTTATGGTGCTGGTTGACCTCGGGGATGTTTTTGACCTTTTCCGGCACTTCTTCGGAACTTTCAGGTCGTCTCAGGTTTTTCACCGATCCTAAACCGCTTTCTTGAAAAATGAATATAGTTGAACCTCTATAACTCAAACTTCCTTAATTCGAATACTGTACATCTTCACGTAAAGGTTTTTTTTTCGAGACCCTGTCGAAATTAATTTAGAAATAATGCATTGAAAACCTCCTTAACTCAAAGGCTTCCCTCCTCACACCATCATAAAGCAAATTTTCTTGAGGCCTGTTTGCTATTATTTTATTGACAAAAGAGAAAATAAATAAAAATGTAACTTGGCATATTTTGAATGGAAGTGAAAGACTAATTGGACAAATGAACCATTGCCTCCAAGTTCAGCATCCTGCCAACTCACTCAAGAAACAATTAAAAGCTCAGAAAATCATCAATGACAATTAGTAATTTTTCCTTCTTTTCGCTCAACAACTCAATTATTTGTTTGCTGGTCCATCGAAGTTCGACTTGATAGGTTCGACAGTTACAAGAAAGCAGATTTAAGATTCGGTGGAAGATAAATAATAATAGACTCTCTCACCAGCCGGTGGAACTTCCATAGACCAAAATTCCGAGTCACAGTTTGGCCCATCGCATGGGACAGGCATAGCAGATGATAAGGATTCCTTTCTAGTTGAGCCTCTCAGACTCTTTTCCGTGCTGGGAAACTTGAAATCTTGTCAGAAAAAACAATGTTTTGAAACAAGACTGCAAAGTACAGCATTTCAATAATAATGAACCCACCTATTGGAGGAGATTTAGGTTCCCTGTGAGGATTGAATTTCTGCATAGTGATCAAGTGCGCCAAACGCTTTGATTCTCTCTTGCCTTCTTTGTGAGACAGCCATCTTGGCTGATCGGCTAAAAAGAAAGGCATCAACCAGATGTTTATGATGAATACACCAGAAATGAAAAATGAACTCCGAAATAAGATTCCTCAGCTAAATTCAATACTCGAAATACTTGAAAAATCCTTGCAACCGAAACTCAAAAAATTTAAATAAAAAGTGGAGGACGTCACACTTCGCATATCGATGGAAATTACATCCAAATGCACAGGATTGAAATTGGGTGAAAATGTAGTCCAGAAATCGTATATGTAAAATGTAAAATTGAAGTTTACAAATAATTTATTGTTTTCATTTTTCTTAGAAAGAGAATAATCTTGATGCCATCCTGAAGCTCATGTTCGAAAACCGACGAGATATATTAAACACTACACTGTGTGCATCCCATGTCTACATTTATTTTAGCATGCATAAAATATATTTAAAATAAGGACTGATAAAAATGTAAAAATGATTTCCATGACCTCAGGTAATGATAAATAATTTCAACCGTTTTTTTTCTCTTCCAAGCATTCGAGAACTTACAATATTCAGCGTCGTTCGATTCCAATTCTTCAACCATAGCCTCATAATCCTCTGGATAATTCTCGAAGTCTTCCAACGCATCGTCATCTTCATCGTCATCTGCTTCCATCAACGCCAAATCTCCTAAAATTACACGATACCTCGTTAAATTTTCGTGTGAATTAAATTAAATTGCATCAAATGAATGCACCTTCGAGCACAGCAACTTGATGCACATGATTGTGCAATTCTTCGTATTTGAATCGATTCAAAAGCTCTGGGTGATCCTGCTCGAAGTGATGAATCAGCTTGTCTAACCTCAAGTCTCTCTGGATATCCTTCTCATCGGAATGCATGTGGACAGCAGCAGGGACAATACTGTCTTGCTGAACCTGATACTTCACAGAAAAATCGAAGAAATTTCAAGCAAAATTTTAGGAAGAAAAAAAAAACTACCACAGATTTGCACAGTATCGGGGGATGCACGTTATTCCACAAAATCATGAAAGAGACTTGCTCCCTCCATGGCGAGAAGAACGCTGATTTCATGAATTATCGGGATTATAAAATATTTTTTTATTTTGTTTCATAAAAATTGTCTGAATTGTTTGATCAACTTGAAACCTTCCATTCATGTTCCAAGAACCAGACACAGCCTTATTTGAAGAGACTGTACATGCTTCAGTAAGGAAACTCTGTAATCGAAAAATTCTAATCAATTCCTTCAAAAAGTTTGGCACACAGAAATTTTATTACATTGTTATTCCACAATATCAAGAAAGAGACTTGCTCCCCCTTTGGCTGATTGCAAAATTCTGATTCAACATAAGCTCATTATCTAAGAACTGACAAAGCTTCAATATTATCTTTCATACTTTATCCCCTTGAATTCTGTACTGGAATATACAATACAGTAATGTGCTGTATTATTACAGAAGAAAAATGTTTCCAACACGATACAAAAATAAAAGCATAAGACTAGCGATTGAAAATTCTATTTTGAGAAAGCGGGCGTTTTTTAATCTGGTTTTTCTGGGTGACAGTTTCATGCAATAAATTGCTCGCGGAATTTAATTTCGCGTGTTGAAAAACATGTTGCTTTCTGGGCGTTTTCAATTAAAATACGTCGCGTTTTAGGCCTAGTCTAAAAACACTTTCCGGTGTATTTTAATTATACAGGAAACGTTCTATCAGGCTTTCGATTAATTAATCAGCGTTCGTGAAAATAGCGCAATTCTTCATCCACCACAAAAACATTTTAATGACCTTCTAATTTATTTTTATTTTTTTACAGATAGAAGCGTAGAAATCACGTTAGGGTTTACCTTTCTTTTGAAAACCAAGTCTTATTTCCAGGAAAATTTAGTACCTGCTTCGCGGCACTGCTTTTCGCAACGGGTTTCGTCACACTGTCTTCCTGATGCAGAACGAACTTGGGTCCAATCGAGGATTCCTCGATCTTCTTCAGCAACCCGGCAGCCACTGATTTTTGCACGGGCTGCACAATATCATCTTTAACTGGAGTTTCTCGTTGGACGCTGTTGATTTCCTGCTTCAGTGCGGCGTCTTGTGCTACGGCGAATTCGTCCTTGACAGCCGCAGTAGTTTCTTCTGAACCGCCGACGATGAATTCCGGCATGTGCACCATCGTTTTAGTGTCATCTTTATCGTATCTCGTCGGCTCGATTCTTCCCGGTCTGTACTTTTCCTTCAACTCCTTCGTGATTTTCTTCTTGGACTGAAAAATTAAGAGGGAAAAGTGCATTGAAGAGCAAAGATTCCCTCAAATTCAAAAACACCGGATCTTCGCATAACTGAACAACTGTAATTCTTTTTCGGATGCCTTTCGTTACGCCGAATCCTCAAGATTGCATTGTCAACGATTGAATTCATCACAGGCACTTCCCAAAAAACCAAAATAAAACTGAAAACGATGTACTGTATTTTTTCCTAGTGAATTTTGCATTTTAAATCGAGTACTGTACTTTAAAATCAATTTTGCGTTTTTTTCTAGTTAGTGAATTATAAATTTTAAATCGAGTACTGTACTGTACCATCAATTTTCAGCAATCCTGGTAAGGTGATTGCTCTGAATATCCTGAATTCTAGAAAGAGGGAAAGGTGCTTTTCTCTGGTTATTTTCTTCTTTTTTTTATAGCCTAAACATTTTTGAAATTTTGTCAGTTCTTCCCGCGCAAAAAAATTCAAATTCAAACTTTTCTAACCTTCGTAAGAATTTTCATCGCGAGGATATTTCGCTATGCGGGGAATCACTGTAGTGCACAAACATTTAGGGACTTCGAAAAAAAAGATTTGAAATTAACCTTCAAACGCTCTCGTATAGGGTTGGTATAAAACTTTGTGAGCGCGTTCGAATAATTAAAAAGGAAATTTCAAGAACACCACAATAATTTGAATGAAAAAAAAACACTAAATTTCAAATTTCCAATTTAAGAGCACAATACTTAGAATCCCGATTTCCCCATGACAAGATCAAGGCGGTATTTGATTGGCAAAATTTGTACGAAAAATGGTGAGATAATTCAACAAATTCAATCCTGAACTGAGTTCCTATCATCGTAAAAATTTAAATATTGCCGAATTAGGTGAAAAGATAAACAAACTGGAATTGCTCGACAAAAACTTGAGATATTATGTCCGATCAAAAATTCTCTTACTAGATACGATTAGCCTATTTAAAAATATGATGCAGAAGCAATTGATTAAGCTTACAGTATATTTTAGTACAGTAATGTATATCTCGACAAAAACTTGAGATATTATGTCCGATCAAAAATTCTCTTACTAGATACGATTAGCCTATTTAAAAATATGATGCAGAAGCAATTGATTAAGCTTACAGTATATTTTAGTACAGTAATGTATACGAATTTTCACCCGTGCACTTTCCCAATATTGTTACTCAAAAATCGGTCAGAAATTCTTCGAAAAGTTCAAGTCAAGTAAAAAAGTTCAAGTAAAGATAATTTTGTCTTGTTTCCAAAAAAATGGAACCCACATCCTCGTAATTAGTCGCCTCGTCAAAGAACGGCGGGGCATTGTGGTAGGGATCGAAGGCTTTCTCCTGTCGGTCAAGAACATGGGCAACGTTATACGCAATACGTCTTCGACGGTCCTCGGCCAATTCCTCATCAGTGGGCCAGCTAGTGATTACCAAACGGGTATCGGCCATAGAAGACCCAGCAACATCGTCTGGTGCAGAAGAGCGTAGTGCATGAAGGAAGAGACGAGCCTAAGCACGGTGTGCAAATAGGAGGCGCATTTTTAACCGAAGTACGTTAAAAGACACGTGCAGGGGTTGAAGAGGTAGACGTTTTTTTTCATACAATACAAGTATTCAACAACATAACAATACATTTTTCTGGATATTAACGAAAAATGCACGTCAATAAATGCAACATGATACACGACCTGAAGGAACTCGGAGGGAATCGCCATCACATAGCGGCCAAAACATATTTCACTCGAATGAAACTAAAAACATAAGCGTGATTGAGTTTTAGGAAAATTTAGAAGAAAAATCCCACGCTTACTTCGGTCAGATTTCATTTAAACAACAAAATCGTGCAATAAAAATATTCCAATGACATAATACTTGATACCGTACAGTAAAATTTCGATGCAACAAATACCTTTAAAAAATTATTCAGCATAAAAACTTTTTTAAAGTTATAACAGAAAACCTACAGGGCACATGTCAAAACACTCCCGTTACAACGAAATTTCCAATGCCATTACAGTATATCAAAATTCTTTACTGAAGATATAATTTAATTTCCCCCTCTTTTTCAAATGGGTATAAAAAGAGAGAAAATTCACTTTTATCAAGCTCAACATTTTGGTTGGTTTGCGCATGTGATTTTTTTTTCCACGTCTTCTCGCATCACGTACTTCCTTCTCTGCTCGGATTCGTGCCACACGTTTATCCTCCGCGTAAAAATTGGCTTCATGCAATTTTCTGTGCACGTCCCCAACTTCTCCATCTGCAAAAAAAAAACATACATTACAAGTATTCAACAACATAACAATACATTTTTCTGGATATTAAAGACAAATGCACGTCAATAAATGCAACATGATACACGACCTGAAGGGACTCGGAGGGAATCGCCATCACATAGCGGCCAAAACATATTTCACTTGAATGAAACTAAAAACATAAGCGTGATTGAGTTTTAGGAAAATTTAGAAGAAAAATCCCAAGCTTACTTCGGTCAGATTTCATTTAAACAACAAAATCGTGCAATAAAAAATTCCAATGACATAATACCGTACAGTAAAATTTCGATGCAACAAATACCTTTAAAAAATTATTCAGCATAACAACTTTTTTAAAGTTATAACAGAAAACCTACAGGGCACATGTTAAAACACTCCCGTTACAACGAAATTTCCAATGCCATTATATCAAAATTCTTTACTGAAGATATAATTTAATTTCCCCCTCTTTTTCAAATGGGTATAAAAAGAGAGAAAATTCACTTTTATCAAGCTCAACATTTTGGTTGGTTTGCGCATGTGATTTTTTTTTAGCATACTCAACAAAGCAATTGTTTTATTATGCTAATGAGTTCATCAAACAATAGTAAAGAACCTGAAAAAGACGGAAAAGCAAGATAATTCTTATATGCAGGTCTATATCTCAATTTTTTGTTATTAGATTAATTAAATGGAATTGAATTCATTCTAGTTTCAAAATACAGTAAATAAAAATATTCAAACTCAACATTTCCACCCCAAGACCCTGCAAGTTTATTCTAACGGGATTTCACTGTATTGCATCGCCATTTATAAACCACCTGAAGAAAAACAGACGCATTCAATTAAATGTAGTACTAGACCAATATGCAATATTTAATGAAACGCTCGAATATTCTTCCCTCCATTGTGCAGTGCATTCTTCATGAAGTTTTAAAATTTACTTTGACAATCTCCTTCTCCAAGCACTAATACAAAAAGGAATACCTCTCCAACAGTCCCCGACAACAGGATCCCAATCGGCAGCAAATTCAGACAAGGAACAAGTCGTAAATGGAAGCATGTCTCCCAGGGAACTAGAAAATCCATCGTCACACGCGAACTCAATACGTTCTCCTGTATCGAATTCCCTTCTGCTTGAATCTTTCAGGCTCAGAACGGCATCATGGATAATCGGTGGCACGCTGCACTTGGCTAAAAAAATGGAGATTTTATTTTACAAAAAGTGAACAAAATTCATACACAGTTCTTCCCAAATGAAGTTAAATCGATGAAATACACAATTTACTTAATCAACTTCACTTGCTTCGAGCTTGAGATGAAAAATCATACAAACGGAAAAACGTAGTCGTATTCCTTCGTTTCCAGGTAATCCGGATTTTTTTTTAACGTACAATTTAGAATAAGAAAAGGCATGAATTGTAGGCCACATGAGCCTGATATCAGTAAAGAGCTCTTCCATGTCATTCTTTCCACAGAAAACTCATACACTTGTAACGAAGAAATGACAGTACGACGGAAATTTTGTACAGTTCTTCTTTAGCAGCTGCAACCCCTTCTAAAAAGTTTCTTTCTCAAATTTCGAAAAATACGCAGCGAAATAAGAAAAATACGACATTACTTCATGCAAGAATCAAACTGAAAAAACGAGCTCGGGGCATATTTATATGAATTTGCGACGGAACTACATCGTGAACCACATACCTTCGAACTCATCAGCTTGACGAGTTGATTTGATTCATGATTTTCCTTGATTCAACATTTTATTCGTTTCTATGAGAAGCACAATGAAAAGAAAAACTCTTCTATGTGTTGTCTCACTTCTCATCAATGAAGTCAACAGAAAAAAATTTTCAAGAATTAAATAACAAAATTGAGCGACACTCTCACTATTTCATCGATTTCGGCAACGAACAGCGTTCCAACGCTATTATTTCACAGTTTGGAGGCAAACTCACGATATTTCGTACAGGCCCCTCGAACCTCCCAATAAGGGATTCCATCACGCGCCTGAACACACTTGGCGGCGATCGTGTATTGATACGGCCTCCCAGCGAAGTAACCAGGTAAACAGTGATAATTCGCAGCTTCTCCGACAGAAAACAGCGTCAGCTTCCAGCATAAAAAAAAGCAGTACACAAAAATGTGGCACTATGAATAATAAAAACTCACGTGATCCCTCACAAGACCCGGATTCCGGTACAATTCAAGATCCAAATACGCGTTTTCAATTGAAGGCGGCTTGTGACATTGTGGCACGACGGAGCCGTCAGACAACCGGAGTTTATACGGGGCGTGTGGGTCAAGTGTACGGATTTGTCTCGGAGGCACTAATGATGTCCTACCTCTAATTACGATGTTCTCAGCAAACGGCAAGTGCAAATGTAGTGTCAGGATTAGTGCCAAGACGGACACTGCACTTGTTCTCCTGGCCATGCCTTACCCAAATTCATGAAGAGACATTCCGTTTAAAATGCATCAGAGTTAAAAATGAGAATGTTTTCTGGTCTTTCCATTAAAGAAGCCAAATTGAAAACCATTGTTTACAAAAAAAAGTGTTGTACTGAGACCATTTCTTCAACTGATTTTTTTTTTACTTGAATTCAGTTTATTTGCAGATTGATCAAGTACATCAACAGTGCCTAGTGTTCAAGTCAGGATTGTCTGATTTATGAAACACAAAGGAAGAAGTGAAATGTGAATCCTGGTTGCTTCTTATACGGTAATGTACAGTAGTTTGATATTACAGATGGACTCTCTACAACGACATTCAAGGGACCAGAAAAAAAACCTTTGTATTGAATCCCTATGGGATCAAGTTGAAACCTTGTGATACTGAAAGAATTTTTTGTAGAGAGCCTACATTTAAAATTATGGAAGGACCTGTCAAATCCGAAATGTTTTAGAACACAAAACAAGGATGTCATAATTTGCGAGCCGAATTCATGCTGCGATTTTCCAAAAATGATTCTAGGCAATCCTGACGGACAATTTTTGCAGCTTAGAAATATGCGTTAGCACGAGGTTCATGACTTGGAACAGCAATTCTCTTGGACAGCTTAAAACTGATTTCAAATTCCAAATCTTCTGCAAATCCATATTTGTCTAATTCCCTAAGCACAGTCATAAAAAAAAATTTGTTTCAGAAGTTTCTCTGAGCAAACCTACATGAAATATGCAATCAATAATGATTTAAATTACCGTAATCGGATCAATGAGTTGATATGCAATACAGTATTCTGAAAATGGTATTTAAATAATGTAATCTTTAATATTATCATTGTAATTTTATTCATGAAAAAAATAATAATTTCGAAAAGAAAATAGTTTCCAACCATTAATCGCAGGTGGGGAAAGGATTGTGTCAAAAACTCAAGGTTCAATTAACTTTGAATCGTCGTTTCGAAACCTTTTGAAGGTTTCCGGAAAATCCAACCTGTTTTATGAGCCCATGTCCACGCTTACAACAAAAACCTGGGATAAAACGAGGTTAAAGATGGGGAATTTAGACCCCGCTAGAGGTAATTTTGATCGCAAGCAAAACTCACGCGGGACTAATTCCAACTTCGCAGCGAATTTCATGTCCCCTAGTTGACTTATTTTCATATGTTACCATCAGTTTCTGAACTCCGTCAACTTTCAATGGTTTCCGAAATCTTGAGGGGAGAAAAAAAAAAGAATAGAGAAGCTTGGTTTTGAGCATCGAAGCATAACTTCATTCTTCTCAATGCCCATTGATTGCGGAACGACGAGAGTCGTGAGCCAGTTTCCAAAACCGCAAATTGGCGCGATGGTTCGTCGACAAAAACAAACCGGGTTCGAACAAATGCCTTTTCCGTCGATTTTTCGCTTTCGTCAATTTACCGCAACTAGTGCTAGACTGATTGGAATAGCCCACACTTTTCTGAAGATTCGCAACGCTTTTCTGCGACACTGCAGTCACAGACTCGTCTTCGCCGTCACTCTCCACATTTTCACTCAATTCACTCAACACTAAGCAGGTTAGCCGACACTTGGTGTTCACTGACGTGAGAAGACTTGGCAGGTTTGTTACTGAGTAGCTCCAGAGCTTGATCTCACCTTCAGTTCCGCAAGTCAAAAGCAGGCGCTGTTTTTCTGCAAATTGGGAAATTTTCGGTCAAACGAAGAAGCTTAGGCTTCAATTTCAAGAATTCAATAAGTACCAAAGAGGAAATCCTTATCATGTTCGACATTTCTCTAGAAAAAAAAATTAATATTCCACACACCCAAACGTGAGACGCAGCAAAAAACACGTTACGATCGCAATGCATAATAAATTCCCCACAAAATTACAACATGGTCAAATACCACATTCACGCGAAGATAAACACCCCCCCCCCCCCCCCCTACATTTTTCATTCACAAATTGAAGAATCCACCTTCTTCCCTGTTCTGACATTTCTGGAGCCTAAAATTTTTTACCAAACGGAATAAATTTAGGTTTGCACTAGAGAAGAAAAATCAGTGTCCCACAACCCTTGCCCATTCCCCTTTAATCAACGACTCGTATTTTTGAAGTTCTAAAGCGGACAATTTCTTGATTATTTCCACATTCAATTCCAAAAGAACTGCTTAATAATTTCGTGGGCTGCGACGAGAAAGATTTCCATACACAGACGCATATTAACGCGAATTCCTTGATCATACACATATAAGCACCCCTAGTTTCTGAGCTTCTAAATTAGCGAAAAAGTGACCAGCTACTAGAAAATCAGAAGATTAATCATATTAATAAAATGCTTGAACAGCACAGAAAAAAATTAAACAAAGCAAGTGAAAAGAAAAACTCACGCTCGGAAAGAAGAACATCTCCAAAGGCAAACGCTTTCACACGAGGCTCATGAGCAGAAAGTTTCCTCGACCGCTGCGNTGATCCCTCACAAGACCCGGATTCCGGTACAATTCAAGATCCAAATACGCGTTTTCAATTGAAGGCGGCTTGTGACATTGTGGCACGACGGAGCCGTCAGACAACCGGAGTTTATACGGGGCGTGTGGGTCAAGTGTACGGATTTGTCTCGGAGGAACCAATGATGTCCTACCTCTAATCACGATGTTCTCAGCAAACGGCAAGTGCAAATGTAGTGTCAGGATTAGTGCCAAGACGGACACTGCACTTGTTCTCCTGGCCATGCCTTACCCAAATTCATGAAGAGACATTCCGTTTAAAATGCATGAGTTCATGTGATTTAAAAATGAGAATGTTTTCTGGTCTTCCCATTAAAGAAGCCAAATTGAAAACCATTGTTTACAAAAAAAGTGTTGTACTGAGACCATTTCTTCAACTGATTCTTTTTACTTGAATTCAGTTTATTTGCAGATTGATCAAGTACATCAACAGTGCCTAGTGTTCAAATCAGGATTGTCTGATTTATGAAACACAAAGGAAGAAGTGAAATGTGAATCCTGGTTGCTTCTTATAGGGTAATGTACAGTAGTTTGATATTACAGATGGACTCTCCACAACGACATTCAAGGGACCAGAAAAAAAACCTTTGTATTGAATCCCTATGGGATCAAGTGAAACCTTGTGATACTGAGAGAATTTTTTGTAGAGACCCTACATTTAAAATTATGGAAAGACCTGTCAAATCCGAAATGTTTTACAACACAAAACAAGGATGTCATAATTTGCGAGCCGAATTCATGCTGCGATTTTCCAAAAATGATTCTAGGCAATCCCGACGGACAATTTTTGCAGCTTAGAAATATGCGTTAGCACGAGGTTCATGACTTGGAACAGCAATTCTCTTGGACAGCTTAAAACTGATTTCAAATTCCAAATCTTCTGCAAATCCATATTTGTCTAATTCCCTAAGCACAGTCATAAAAAAAAATTTGTTCAGAAGTTTCTCTGAGCAAACCTACATGAAATATGCAATCAATAATGATTTAAATTACCGTAATCGGATCAATGAGTTGATATGCAATACAGTATTCTGAAAATGGTATTTAAATAATGTAATCTTTAATATTATCATTGTAATTTTATTCATGAAAAAAAATAATAATTTCGAAAAGAAAATAGTTTCCAACCATTAATCGCAGGTGGGGAAAGGATTGTGTCAAAAACTCAAGGTTCAATTAACTTTGAATCGTCGTTTCGAAACCTTTTGAAGGTTTCCGGAAAATCCAACCTGTTTTATGAGCCCATGTCCACGCTTACAACAAAAACCTGGGATAAAACGAGGTTAAAGATGGGGAATTTAGACCCCGCTAGAGGTAATTTTGATCGCAAGCAAAACTCACGCGGGACTAATTCCAACTTCGCAGCGAATTTCATGTCCCCTAGTTGACTTATTTTCATATGTTACCATCAGTTTCTGAACTCCGTCAACTTTCAATGGTTTCCGAAATCTTGAGGGGAGAAAAAAAAAGAATAGAGAAGCTTGGTTTTGAGCATCGAAGCATAACTTCATTCTTCTCAATGCCCATTGATTGCGGAACGACGAGAGTCGTGAGCCAGTTTCCAAAACCGCAAATTGGCGCGATGGTTCGTCGACAAAAACAAACCGGGTTCGAACAAATGCCTTTTCCGTCGATTTTTCGCTTTCGTCAATTTACCGCAACTAGTGCTAGACTGATTGGAATAGCCCACACTTTTCTGAAGATTCGCAACGCTTTTCTGCGACACTGCAGTCACAGACTCGTCTTCGCCGTCACTCTCCACATTTTCACTCAATTCACTCAACACTAAGCAGGTTAGCCGACACTTGGTGTTCACTGACGTGAGAAGACTTGGCAGGTTTGTTACTGAGTAGCTCCAGAGCTTGATCTCACCTTCAGTTCCGCAAGTCAAAAGCAGGCGCTGTTTTTCTGCAAATTGGGAAATTTTCGGTCAAACGAAGAAGCTTAGGCTTCAATTTCAAGAATTCAATAAGTACCAAAGAGGAAATCCTAATCATGTTAGACATTTCTCTAGAAAAAAAAATCAATATTCCACACACCCAAACGTGAGACGCAGCAAAAAACACGGTACGATCGCAATGCGTAATAAATTCCCCACAAAATTACAACATGGTCAAATACCACATTCACGCGAAGATAAACACCACCCCCCCCCCCTACATTTTTCATTCACAAATTGAAGAATCCACCTTCTTTCCTGTTCTGACATTTCTGGAGCCTAACATTTTTTACGAAACTGAATAAATTTAGGTTTGCACCAGAGAAGAAAAATCAGTGTCCCACAACCCTTGCCCATTCCCCTGTAATCAACGACTCGTATTTTTGAAGTTCTAAAGCGGACAATTTCTTGATTATTTTCACATTCAATTCCAAAAGAACTGCTTAATAATTTCGTGGGCTGCGACGAGAAAGATTTCCATACACAGACGCATATTAACGCAAATTCCTTGATCATACACATATAAGCACCCCTACTTTCTGAGCTTCTAAATTAGCGAAAAAGTGACCAGCTACTAGAAAATCAGAAGATAAATCAATAAAATACTCGAACAGCACAGAAAAAAATTAAACAAAGCAAGTGAAAAGAAAAACTCACGCTCGGAAAGAAGAACATCTCCAAAGGCAAACGCTTTCACACGAGGCTCATGAGCAGAAAGTTTCCTCGACCGCTGCGAATTTTCATCAAAATTCGCATCATGAAACTCGATCGTCGGAGAATCCGACGAAAACACGATTTCTTTTCCATCCGGAGTGAACTTGAGATCAGATATCCGTCTCTCGGCCTCGGACCTCAGCGTCTGCACAGATCCCGCAGTTTCAATCGAGAAGACCTCAACCGTATCATGCAAAGCTATCGCGTAGTATCTTCCATCAGGACTATAAACCACCAAATGGGCAACGGCTTTGATGTTCGTCACGTAAGCATTCCTGCCCTTGAGAAGATTCCAGGTCCGAAGCGTCTTGTCTTGTCCAACACTCAGACCGAGTTTCCCCGACGGATGAACAGCGAAATCTTTCACTGCCCCAACGTGTCCTGGTAATTCTGCTTTCGGCAACCAATTCTTCGAGTCCCAAACGACGATTCGCCCGTCTTCACTACACGTGAACGCATTTTTGCCGTGGAATCGAATGGATGTTACAGTGGCAGAGTGTTCTTGAAGCACTGTGACGCATTTCCGCTTGAGGATGTTGAAGACTGCGATTGTTTCGTCAATGCTTCCGGAAGCGATTATTGGACCGGAAGAAGCCACGGTTTTCACTGCGTTCATGTGACATTTGTCCGCGAAGACTATCTTTAAGGACCATGATGATTTCCGTTTTGATACTTTGTATCCGAGGACAAAGCCTTCATACGTTCCGACAGTCACTTCCATGCCTGAAATTCATGAAAGAGATTATGGGCAGGTTTTGTAAAGTTTTTGAAACCATTTCACAAGACTTCCCTCACAGCATGCTCTCCCGAAATGTAACGAAAGGAAAATAAATTGACATCACAACTTTAAAACCATTGGGACACATTTTGACAAAGAAAAAAAAGAAACTTGTCATGCTGAATTTAAGAAACAATTTAAAAGAGATTCAACTCAACTTTTTTGCTAGTCCCTTGAAGAGGTTCAACTGTAGTCAAGAGAATACACTTCTCAACACGAAAAAAATTACGGTAATTCAGCGAAAGTCGAACACATCTTAAATTGCTGCCAAATTCGCATCCCTTCAGCTCAGTAGTTGTAGTTGGTCTACAAAAAAGTACACGATGAGCTTTTATTAAAAAATACAACACACTATCTTTAAACATCGACTTAAAAAAATTGACACAGAGGACCCACACGCATACGGAATGTAAGTCACGATTTCGCTTGCGATTCGGAAGAAGCCGCGGCGGCTTCTTCCGTCATTTGGTGAATGGTCCACAGGTGTCGCTTGACGTGTTTTAAGGACCATGATGATTTCCGTTTTGATACTTTGTATCCGAGGACAAAGCCTTCATACGTTCCGACAGTCACTTCCATGCCTGAAATTCATGAAAGAGATTATGGGCAGGTTTTGTAAAGTTTTTTGAAACCATTTCACAAGACTTCCCTCACAGCATGCTCTCCCGAAATGTAACGAAAGGAAAATAAATTGACATCACAACTTCAAAAGCATTGGGACACATTTTGACAAAGAAAAAAAAGAAACTTGTCATGCTGAATTAAAGAAACAATTTAAAAGAGGTTCAACTCAACTTTTTTGCTAGTCCCTTGAAGAGGTTCAACTGTACTCAAGAGAATACACTTCTCAACACGAAACAAATTACGGTAATTCAGCGAAAGTCAAACACATCTTACATTGCTGCCAAATTCGCATCCCTTCAGCTCAGCAGTTGTAGTTGGTCGACAAAAAAGTACACGATGAGCTTTTATTAAAAAATACAACACACTATCTTTAAACATCGATTTATTTTTTTAACTGTGTCTCCTGGGTGTGCGTATGCCTTACATTCAGTGCTAAAGCGAACGCTAAGCCTTCTTCGGCGCCGCCGAAGAAGGCAGTAAACCACTTACCAGGTGTCCACAGCGAACTGCACGCTCCGACGCGTGAACTCCTTCCCACAGATCGGACAACTTCCCGACGGTTCCTGACGTCCGTCGCACTTCCTTCGCTTCTTCTTCAGTGGCACTTGGTCGTTTAAATCGCGATGGATTTTCGCGTGATCTCGGAAATCGCTTTCGTTTTTGAACACCAATTCGCACCTTATGCACACGGGATTCAAGTTTTTGGAAGGTCGGAGATGCTTGGACATCTCCCGTTTAACTCTCGGCTTGTGCACGTCGGATATGTGTCGCTGGACGCTCTTGGGACACGTGAACTGCTTGCCACAGATGTTGCATGAATGCCTGGAAAATCCCTCAACGCTGATGAATACAGAAAAAAAATACAGTGAAATCATTTCTTCAAAAACTTTGAACATTTTTCCTCACGCAACTAAAATTAGCAAAAAGACAGTTGTCTTCCAACCAATCTGAAAAAAGCGATCTAAGACCCGAATTATCAGGATTTATTTTAAATACTGAACCACGGTAACGTACACGTAACAAACCATCGTTATCTATAAACCACAAAATAAAACTACAGTACATTGAAAGGTATAAACGAAGCTTAAATTATTTTGCGTGAGTTCAACAGCGACTTTTTACACCACGTCAAAGTAACAGAACAGTTTCAACTGCACGAAGAGAAAAAGTGACCAAAAACGTTACTCACCATTGAAGGCCCGAATGGCTCGACATATGATTCTTCAAATAATACTGCTCAGTGAAGCCCTTGTCGCAAATCAAGCACTTGAACTTGTACTCTCCTGTATGGGTTTGTAAATGCCTGTTGAGCTTCGCGTTTTCGGCAAAACCTTTCCCACAAAACTGGCACTTGCACGGGTGCTCCCCGGTATGAACAACGTAGTGGCGTTTCAAACCACTCTTATCCCGAAATCCCTTGAACAACATGATCACATTACAAACGTAAGATCACGATATTTAGAGAAGATGAGCACCTTACCTTTTGGCAAACAGGACACGAGAAAGGATAATGCCCTTGATGCGACCGGAAGTGTCGCTGAAGATGATACGAAGTTTTAAAGGAACGTGGACATACTGTACACCGGTGGTTTCTCTCTTCGTTACTCGGTGAAACAGACCGCGAAACTACACTCATGGCGGATTGTTCGGTTTTCACTTGAACGCCCGGGTGAAGTCCGGAAAGACCTTTAATAACGAACAACATCAATCACAACTGTTCAACGACGCAGCTTTCAAATGCAAACCAAACCTGCGGCAAGAAATTTTTCGAACATTGGCAACGGATCTTCTGAACTAGACCCAGGAACACCTCCGGGTTTACACTGCGCGTCGGGAACCTGTGACGGGGGCAGCCCTCCTACATATTCGAAGGCTGGGTAAGGAAAACCAGCCATTGCTTGGCATACCTGCGGAATAAACCAGAACGTTTCCGAGATTGATCTCGTTATATCCGAACCCTTCGCACGGTATGATGAACTAATCAAATAATGTATTACTGAAAGCTATGAACACTTCGATGAATAAAAATGATGCGATAGCGTCGCCTGGGGTACACTCCAGATTATCTAGGACACAACAATACGTCGAACAGCCAGTCAAGTATTTAGATTCATTTAGATTCATTCTCTATAAAAACACACGAACCCCCATTTGGTCACCATTCAACTGAACACTCCTTGAAGTTTACCCCCCACTGACCGAAACGTTCAACCAACGTAGGCTGCCATGTTTATTGAGGGTGTGCGAAGTATAAAGCTATAGAGCTTTACACTGCTTAGACTCAACCAGAGCTCAAAGTTTAATCTACAAAGTTATAGTATAGAGGTAACTTTGATGAATACCTGAGGAAATGATGAAACGTTTAATGCTCAAAAATGAAGATGAAGCTCTTTTTTTAAAGTTTCACACACTTGAAAAATCTTCATAAACGATCAAGGCTCAAAAATGCCAACGGGAAGGTGACTGTAATCAACTTCTGAGCAATGATGAAAAATTCTGGAAAAGAGCCATAACGCAACGCGAATAAATCCTCATCAAGCCATACCCAGGATGCCAGTCAAGCGCAGGAATACAACTCAGTAGAGATCCCACGCCCATTAGCCCAATGATCCATTTCCTGCCTCCAATTGCGACACTCTCTTCTTTTGGTTTACTCAAGAATGCAGCTGAACCTTCTTTTAGACCATTTCCTTCATAAATACCCTGCAGCAGTGGTTTTTGCGGTGGACTCGACACATCTGGTTTTTTTGTGGTCACCTAAATTCATTTTCCGTGTCACTGATTCCGTAAATCCAGCACATTCACAACAGGTCAGCAGGTCAATGTCTTCATGTTCGCCATGCTCACTGATGGGAATTCGTTTGGCAACTCTAGCAAGCGAATTAATTGGATTAAAACTGCTCAGGATAGGGGGAATGAAACGAATTAATTGTTGCTGGTCATTGATGAATTTTTGATGGATTGCTGGACAGGTGTTGACTCACACACCAGAGTAATTAATGGTGTCCAACACTGGGTTCGCAAACTTCTCGCCTTGACCCCGGCCAAATTGCTCCAATTTCCTCAGCCCAGCAAAGCCATTGATTAAGAAAGGGAATTGATTCTGTGGGGATATTTTCAACACTTTCATCAATCAAGGTGGCGTATTTTTTTAAATTTTCAGTTCTGTAAAGCATATAGACAGAATAGAACAACAAATAAGCGTGATTGAAGTCCATAGGGGGGAATCAGTCATGCATAAATGTATAGAGGGGATATTTTGGAGCGTAATTCATTCTGGCCCTTTTTTGCTTGACTGCACAACTCGAATTTCGGGGAAAGTCTTCCACTTTTGCGTAAAAATGTGGTCCTGCGTTGCAATTTACAAAGCAATTGATTAGTATCATCACATGTCAGGGAAAAAGAAAGCAGAAAAATTAAATATATAACCCCACTTCCAACCAAAGAGTTCCACTTGAAAAAAAAAAACTATGTTTTAAAACTGTTTTCTTCTTGCCAATTCACTTTCTTCTTCAGCAAAAGTTTTTTTTAATTGTGAGCAGAATAAATGAATGGAAAAAATGATTGCTCATTTCCAAATGTCAAATCCACGTAACCCCAGCATCAAAAAAAATATAATTCAGATTCTGTACTTCTGAAGCAGTTATTATCCTACAAATTTTGCTTCAATGAGATTATTCAGTATTATTAACATTTCAGAAGAAACATTTACATATTTTGATGAGTGAAATTCTTTGACAGCTCATTTTACCATTGGAAATTGAAAAATGATATTCAGCAATTGAAGTTACAAGTAGAACATTAATCATGATTACTGTGGGTCCCCATCTAATGTATTTTGTTATGTAAATTAGCTTTATTTAAAGCACAGTACTGTAAAGTACTTTATCCCTCTAGGCTCCATTGAAAATACATATTGTCATGAATAAAAATTAACTTATATTCAACCCACAAGAAAAAGTGTGTTTTAGCAAGTCATATATGAACATGTTAACCATAATTGTTAATAATTTTGTTAATAAAAAGTGCTTAAATGCAATAAATTTAAAATGTTGTGGCAATATCCAATCATCCAAGATATACAATGACTTTGGCTAGTTTAAATGCTCAGTGTATTGATGGTGCAAAGGTTTTTTGTGCACTTCATTTACAGGATACAGTCAACCCCTGCCTAACAGACTGAGACACTAAGTGATTTTCACCTAACAGACTGCCTCTGGAGTCCGTTTTTCCTCCAGCCTAATGGACAAAATCTGCCTAACAGACTTAAGTTGGTTTAAAATAAGGGGGGGGGGAATTAATTTTTCAATAAAGGAATTTGCATAACAGACTATAGTCTGTTGCACAAATTAAGTCAATTGTGCAGGTGATGTTGACTGTATGCTGTTTATGCTTTGCCTTATATTTCACCTCAAAGTGATAAAATACTGACACATTCTTGCATTTTTGTTTGATTCTCTGCTGTGTGGGACATCATTTTTATTTGTGATTCTTGGTCAAAAAATTCAGTGATCAAAATCTTTCAAATATGAATCACTATATTTTGTGTATAGGGAGCCATTTTATAAGGACACATGTACAGTATTAGTTGCTACCTTTACATCAAATAAGCCAATTACAGTACTCAGATTGTGGAAGAGACCATTCATAGAAGAGTTGAATGGCATGGCAATAAACCACCACCTTTAATTTTAGCAATGAATATGCCACATTTACATCTAGTGTTAGGGAAGAACTTGCCTTAACATAAATATGTTTGATTTTTTGCTAGTGGATCAATAAATTAACTGAATGAAGTAAAGTTCGAAAATATTTGGAAATGAAAGTCAGTGTGCGGCGGTTTCCCAACATCTAGAGAATGTGGTTTGAATAAGTTTCAGAAAAAATTACAGCATCACCTTCGAGAAAAACGGGAATATTTTTCGACGCTGCAGATAAACTTTCAACATATTAGGTAGAAAACATTTTTTCCGAAGGTTCCCATTCATGTATGAGTTATGTTTGGTTCACTAATTGAATTGTTCTGTGCTGTACGTAATCTATTTGTTTCCAGTAGCAGCGAGAAAGGAAATAAATTGGGCAGATATCCGAGTTTGTACAGCAAATCGCCCCAAAGATCATTTAGTACTAATTAAAAACCCGCACATTTTCCGGTGATGGTCGGAAATATAATCCCGTATATAGAGAGTTAATATAAATAGATAAATTAAATATAAAAAAGGAGCAGAGCGGAGTACTTTCTATGTAATAGAAACAGAGACTTTTTTTTTGAAACCGATTCCAGCATTTCTGCCATCGTCAGAATGTCCAATTTTCCCTGAGTGGGTGGAAGGGAAATCGTTGCAGGTTTTGATGGGGTTTTGTGCAACCCTCGTCGTTGGGGTGGAGTTCCCCATGGCGTAAAAATTTAGTGGTCATACGAGAAATTGACGTTCCAGACATTTCAGTTTCCTGTGGCTCATCAGTGTTGCCAGCAGAGAGTATATTGGGGATTTTAAATGGAGCCAACTGAGCGATATTTACGGGGACACGTTTTTCCTTTCCATTGCAGCAAAGGTTACATCAGAGCATCATATGAAGCGGGTTTTGAGAATTTTTGAGTATAATAATCTTGGAATTCAAACCTGCTGCGTTACCGAATATTTCTCTTTCTTGTTGCTTCATTCTATGAAACCTTTAATTTTGATTGCATTGAATGGAGAGAATGTGGGTTATTGTAATTACTCCTGCAACTAAAAAACTGCTGAGCAGAATTTTAGTTGGCATACTTTTGCCCTCATGCTCTTCCATTCAAGTAAACTTCAATTCATTTTAAGAAATTACCATTCTCAATTATTCCAGAAATGTAATTCTTATGACTGTCAGAAGGAGGAAACTCACTTGTAATCACAGCATGTAATTTGTTGATTCAAGTCATTGTAATTTTCATAATATTATCTTACACTGGAGATTTTACAGTGCCAAGACTAATTCTCTTTGTCACCAACTCTTGAGGAGATGATCAGTCAGTGTAATCTGGACCAGAATCCAGGAGGGGTTCAGGAAAGTTCAGACATTTTTGCTTGGAAATTAGCACACTAACAAGAATAAGTTTTAAAATGTTTTTTTCATGGGTTGGCAAGCTTCTATCTAAACAAGAAACTTAGTCTGTTGTACTAAGTTTGCTGGTACCCTGCAATCCAACCTGAATCCATTGCTGGACTAGGGTCAAATTGCAAAGCAGTCAAAATTGCAAGACAACATTATCAAATGGCATGTATTCTACATGGCATTTGAAGTTTCATGTCTCTCTGCTGGTCAAATTGCATATGGCAGAGGTCAAATTGAGAGTTGACCTCCCAGAAAATTCAACCATCAAAATTGCAGGATGGTTGAATTTGCAAGGTACCACCTGTAACAAATATTTCAATGAACAAACTAAAATTGAAAAGTTCCCAGAAGTTGTCAATAGCATTTTGTAAATATGTGAACATACCTGCATGTTTTGTGGTCTAATTCAGCCCACTTCTTTTCTTTTGGGTTCAATCGCATAAATTTTTATCCTAAACCAGTGAAAGAATTGATTAAAGACACTTTTGCAAGAAAAGAAATGTCTTTCTTTTAGAAATGATTAATCTTCAATCTCAACCTTCCAGGATAACGTTTTGTCAAGAAGAAATCTGTTCTTTATGGCCGGGGTTGAGTGAATCTAGACTTCTTGTATTTAAGTGATAACGTATATTTCTCAAGTGCAGCAAGCAAGAGTCAGACTGACAATGAATATCAATACATACACTTTGCGGTACGTTTATAGACTTGAGCAAAGCCAGACGCAACTGCACAACCAAAACAAGCAACAGAAAGGGGGACCGGGCAAATGACCACAAACCAGACAATGCAAGTGGGACGTGCAATGACCTCATCTGCTTTGGAGCAGCAAGTTGCTAGGCAGAATTTATGGAATGTTCTGGAACATGAAACACAGAAAGCAGAGAGCAATATTATTCACCTGTCATAGGATGTATATTTTGGTGACAAAAGATTCACACTAAAGGAAAAAAGTTACATTTATCACTGCTGTTAACTTTTGCCTCTATCTGATAACAAAAGTGGAAGATTTTGGGTGAAATGTCACTTGAATTTTGTGAAGTATTTTTATTGTACAGTGAACTATATATATTTTTTAATATTCCCCTGTTGCTTTGGAGTGTTAATCCAGCATTTTATTCTTTACATCTGCAACAATAACATATTTTATAATATTTTGGCTCACAAGCCAAAACAGGCCAATGAAAGAATTTTTTGTTGCTCTGGAATTATATTGCTCATGTAAATTGCCTGAAAGCTTCCAAATCTTGAATATATTTAGAATTATCAATCAAGAATCTGCATTTGGAAGAGTGCGTTCATTACCATGTATTTGAAGGAAAACACTCGGTCTTGCATTAATCAATGCTTTATTGATTAGGATAATTCGCAGTACTGGTGGTGAATAAAACCGAGTGTGGTCGAATGTGGGTGATTCCTCTTCCTCAATCCTTGTTGATCCTGGACCACACCTTGAGCAGTTTATCTTGAAGGCCGAACAACTTCACGCAGCCAGAGGCTATTTCTTTTCTTTTTTTTTCTACCCACAAAATTTTGCGGGATGTGCAATCACTCGATCAATGTCTTAATCAAGCTATCGAAATAATTTGGAGGGAAACGCGGGAATTTTCCCTTTTGAATAAAAGTTTCAGGAAAAGTTGTTTATATATTTCGACAACATATGGGAATTTGAATATTTGTTCAGCACGCATAAAATTGAATATAAGGTCGATTACAGTCAGAGAAAAATATTGAAGACGTGATGATGATGATCATATGAATTTTCCGCGAATAATCTCAAAATTATTGAGTTCTGGAATAATACAACAAACCACGTGTGAATTTAATCTTTTTAATTTATTCTATCAATTAATTTTTTACAATTATTTTTTAATTACATTTTTGTCATTTCAGAAAATATTCGGTTGCATTAATTTTGGATATTTGATATAAATCACTATGAAAACGAAGTACAGTATAACTAAAAAAAAAATTTTAAACCGAATTTTTAAACGAGAAGCACGAACATATCTTTATTAATTACAGTATAGGTCATATAATTTTTATGTAATCGCATTTAATAGGCGCAATAAACGAGATGGCAATGGGCGTGAGAATGGGTCATTAGTGCTAGCATTCATTTGAGATTATTATGATCCAGACAGATTATTCCGACATTTTTTGATGGTTTATTATTATTTTCTGATACTTTTGTATTCATTGAGAAAATGTGCGTTCCATATCAGATAAAAACTGCAAGGACTTGAATCAATTGATTCACGAATTGAAAGGATCTCGATTTCTTTTCACGTTTCCCTCCATTAAATAATATGAAAAATGAATGAAAAATTCCAACATAAATTAGCCCTTATACTTTCTTCTACTGCTGCGGGTTGGGAAGAGATATTACAATTGCATTCTATGAAGCCGAATATGTTGATCATGAGATAAATGACATTTAGTGACAATGGATGATGCAGGAAAAATTTGATTTGCCAATCAATGAAAACCCTATACATTGTTTTCACATTACTTTTATGCATTCAGCAACTGAGTTGATGATTCCTTGATGAATCATCCATATTCCACCTTCAATTAGTGACTTAATTTGAGTATAATACTGTATTATGGCCATAAACTCCCAAAATGATTCTAAAAAAAACTATTTGTCTATAGGAAAAATGAATCACACCGCATATCCTTTAGTAACACTAATTTGACCATCATCAGATCAATAAAAGATGCTGTCTCACCAGCAGTGGTCTCTTGATAAAAAAAAATTGAAAATGTTTGAAGCACCTTTAAAACTCGCCAAAATTATTAAACTACCTCCTGATGACCAAGATGTTTATAAAAAACGCCTCAGCTCAGCAAGAAGTTGTCTTTCTTCGGATTCTACCATTCAGAAAAATGATGCATGATTCTTCCAAATGATTAAATTTGTCTCATAATCTGATAGAAAATAGTCCCATGAGACTGTTTTCTTATTAAAATTATGATCTTCAGAATGGTCTGGATATCACTAAAATATATACGCAAATCCAGCTAATATTTTACCATCATGCAGAAAATAAATTACCATAAAAATTATGCGTGGAAGGCAAAAAAACAAAAACCCCAAGGGCACCGTTAGCCTGGGGAATGTTACTACTTACCTTACCAAATTCCCTTCACTGAGAATATTGAACCACTTCCCCCGTAAGGATCCCCCCAGGTGCTGGTGGAGAGGTATTCATCAGCCAGCAGGAAATTAACAGTAATTGACCTCAATGAAGACCGACTCAAGATACAACTAGTCGCAATTGCACTCAGCAAAGTCATCGACAGCAACATTTTCTAGTCAGCTGGAAATGCAAAAAGTATTTCTGACTTTACATTGTTTCTTCAGTCATTCCATGAACGCCATGTGTTGTCTTTTTTTTTCAGGGGATGAGATGAAATAACCAATGTTCAAAAATAACAAAAGCAAATGATCTACATTACAACAATGTTCACTCTTCAATGACTCTTCAACAGATTTCTCTGTATGGTACAACTAAATTATCTCTAAAACTAACTCCGATCTACAACAATAATATTCCCTTTGAAGAAAACTTTTCTCTACAAATGTTGGGGGTCCCTACAACCTCACAACAAAGAATTGTTACTACACCCTAACCAAATTCCCTTCACTGCGAATATTGAACCACTTACCCCGTAAGGATCCCCCCAGCCTCAGAACCCACTTGAACCTCGTGGGAGCTACAACTCTTGCGGGGACTCACCCCTTGCAGAGGGTGGCAAGAACAAAAACTGCAAAGTACAAATGTGTACCAGTGTTCTTCAAGCCAACCTTTTGTGAAAAGAAACAAATATTAAAAAATTGGAAGGCAAAAAAAACAGGGGCCAACCCACAGAAAAATTCCCTGACAAACCTAATTGTTGGCAATAGCTACATACTTTACCAAAAATTGAAGAAAAATAAATAAACAAAACCACGCCTTATATATACTGTTAAATAAGATGTTGGCAAATCAACAGGATGAGAGAATAAGACAAAGAGGAAGAAACAAACAAAACAAAACTGCAAACAACACAACAAAAAATAAAACACAATAAGGGGGGCACACGCGAAACGAGCCCCAGCGCAAATGCAAAGCAAGGTCAGTGGCTGGTTCGCGTGATGAGACCTTTTTTTTTTTTGTACCCTGTTGTTCTCTTCCTTATCCTGGCCCAGACCCCGGCGATGAGTGATTTCATAATTTGACTTGACTGATGAGCTGTGTGGAATTGAATTGCATCATTGCACGCGACTTGGCATCACTACTATATAGTCAATCAGTGTTTAAAAAAATTTAATTTTCTCTTTTTTTGTTGTCGTTGGTTTGATTGCGAGGGGGGGGTCCTGATCTCGAAAAGAGTGGATATATAATTGCCGAACGAGAGCAATTATCTCGGCTCTTGCAACTATAATTATTAGACATGCTCTCTTTTTTTTTTCTTAGCTGTTGATGGCGACAAAATCAGGAAAAAACCCCCGAGGGGTTCTTTTCGGATAACGCATTTCATTTTATTTATAGGAGCTCATTTGTTGAATAAATCCTCGCATGGATTATTTATCTCTATACAGTATTCTGCCTCTTTTTTTTATCCCGATACCCAAAAGACGCCTTTTATTGTGCAAAAATAGTGTCTGGATCTGCCGAAATAATTTAAAAAAAAACTATTGACGGCGTTTAATAAAAACTATTGGAGGGGTCTTTCGGGAATCGGGAAAAAAAGAGGCAGAATAGTGTAGAGATAAATAATTCATGTGAGGATTTATTCAACAAATAAGCTCAATTCAATTCCGCCTCTTTTCGCAATTGTCAAACGGGAGGGATTATTTTTGTTCATTTGTCACAGTGTTTCCAGATCTACACAAGATTTTAGCACAAAAGGCGTCTTTCGGGAATCGGGACGCAAAAAAAGAGGAAGAATAGTGTAAAGATTTTTTTTTTGGAGATCATATCAAAAATATATGAAAGCTCTGGTTGATTTTAATCCTTGATTAATAATTCAAAATTAAATATCTTATTGGCAGTTCTTCAGCCTCTTCAATTTTTTTTGCAATTGACTAGCAAAAGCAATTATCTCGGCTCTTTCATAAATAATTCTTAGATATTTTATTTTTCTTCTGGGTGAAAAGGGTATCGGCTCTGATGGGGACAAAAAAAAAAGGAAACCCCCTCAGGGGGTTTTTTTTTTGAGCGCTCTTTAAATGTACAGGAGCTCTACTGAATTGATCCTTGAATGAGTTAATCATTGTTATTCCTCATTTTCTTTAACCCCTTCTTTTTTTTGCAATTGCCAAATGAGAGACATTATTTTAAAGCCTTTTCGATGTAACATTTTAGATCCTTTTTTGTGAAAGGGGTGTATTTTGGGGAACATAAACAGACTCCTTTCAATATATTGTTGAAGCAAAAATCTATATAAACGCCTTGCTAAATTCATCCTTGATTAAAAAGTCATTACCTTTCAAATTCTTCGGCATCTTGAAATTTGGCGTGAAAAATATGTCAAAAATTGCGTAAAAACCAAATTAAAAATAATCTAAACGACAGATTAATGGTGCTGTATACTGACGTGAAATCCAAATTAGTTGCAGAAAGCATCAAACCCTCTCATTTAATAAATGCTATAATTACAATTTGTGTCAGTGAAAGAATTTCTAGTGCTTTTGTGTTTTTTCGTGTTGTTACGGCCACAATATAAATCCATGACTGGA